TTCTCTCTCTCTCTCTCTCTCCCTCTCTCTCTCTCTCTCTCTCTCTCTATATATATATATATATATATATATATATATAAATATATATATGTCATTTTTGTATATAATTATGGCTCAAATCAAATCAAATATTCTACTTGGGTCAAAATACAGAAATGTAGCTGTATAATTTTTTTTCACATGCACAATTCTTTATCTGATCTCTTGCAGATTACTTTTTCAATCAAGGATTAGTGGCAGGTAGCTCTAAGTTAGCTATTGGAGGTTATATGTATACTTTAATTCCAATAATTTCTCAATTCCTAACAGTTTAAGTCAACATTGTATATAAATTTTCATAATTAGTTCAGTGTGTTTTCGATATTCACAATATAAGAAATGCACACCTTATTGGATATAAATAAATTTAAAGCATTATAAAGTTTTAATTTAATTCTCAAAATTTTTAAAATTCATTACAATTGCCGAAGCCTTAGAGATAACAAAAGAGGGGGAGGGAGAAAAAATTTCAAGTTAATTTTTAGAAGGAAAAAAAAATGTTGTAACTCAAATATATATGTTTACTATAATCATGTGAACATGTATTAAATCTTAGAGTTTAATGTTGATACATCCTTAATAGTCCTTTTTATTCTATCAACACATTACTTCAAGTATAACTTTTAAAATAATTATTATGAAGTAATTAATTTTCGATGATTTACCAATTATTATAAAGGTTAAAATGAGATGGGAGAGAAAATAATTATACTCCTATATTGAATATTTTCCTTTTCTTAAAGCAGAGTGTCAACTGTCAACTATGATAGAATATCATTCAATCACCATCTGTCTTGGTATACTTTATCATGGACACAATTTTCTACCAACCATGAAAGAACGTTTATATATAGGAAACCAACGTTCGCTCTGCTCATCTAACATGAGGTATAAGCAATAGGACAGCAATATGATATGAAAGTACAATTTCAAGTAAATATTTGCTCATTTATACTCTATTACTAAGGCAATGACTCTATGTGTTGATAACTATAAGGTTAGGTGCAGATTGAAGGAAAGTTCCTCTATGTTTTTGTAAGAAATTGAAATGGATCGGAAAGAAAACATTTTTTTTTACAGATGCTCCAAAAGAAGTTCCAATTAATAGATAAGCATCGGTCGACTTTTCAAATTGAGGATCACCTTAGTTGAAACTTGAAACCTTATATTAATATATTTCTCTTTTTACATTTGTATTTCCTGTTTTTTTGTTCTCCCTTTCTTCTTTTAGACAATATTTGTAATTATTATGGAGGTTTTGGATAGTATTTATGAAGATATACAATAAGTATATATAGAAAATCTAATGATAAAGAATGAAACAAAAGGAAACGCACCTCCAATGTCATTTTCGTGTAATCTCTCCTCACATTCATAAATGGCTAGATTAAGTACGCATTCTAAACATATGACCATCATGGAACAAGCCAAAGTTTGTGTGAACGTTGAGAGACAAATAGATAAAACAACAAACTTTTTCTCCCTTGTTTCTAATGTGACACCATTTTCATGGACCACACTACACCGTACCAATCGTTTTAAAGAAGGATTCTGTTTTATTAATTAAAACACGTATTCGTTTATTAACCAAGTACGCTTCAGGTTCTACGTCAATTTGTATGAATCACATGCAACGTATGATAGATATATGAAGCTCGCATGGCCATGGGGAGCAGAAGACATCTAGCACGATTAAAAATAGGCCCAAAATCAGCATAAAGTGTCTACCTGAGAAATATTTAATTAGGAAACAGCAATAACAGTGTTTTGAATGATAGGAGAGAGAAAGAGTGAAAAAGAGGAGACGAAGAGAGAGGGTATTCCTTTCTAGTCTAATTATTATTCTTTGCAGTCTTTAGCTAGTATATTAGCCAAACCATTTCTAAATCGATGAAGGGAATTTAGGGTTTGTGTTATGCTCCTAGGGTTTTCTAGACTCCATATATATATATATATATATATATATCTCCATGGCTGACATTGTTTTTTACAAAAAGGCTTCAAATTTCTCAATTATTAGATGAATATCATATTCATATCATATATAGTCATGACCTTGTTTGTTAGTCTACCTACCGGCCCACAGTTAATCAGTGTCCTATCTACACACACAAGTGATTTGTCGCATTGAAATCCAAACATAACAAAAATTATGCCACAAATTGATATTATAAGGTATGAAGAGATTACCATCCAACTCAAGTGGCTAATTGCTTGAAGGACTTTGGAGCATCATGATGAGGGCCCTTAAGTTGGTTCTTCTTCTTCTTCTTTTTCTTTGTGTATGGGATCCCTCTTGCCTTTGCTTGACACTCCTTGACTTCGCGAAGGTAAACGCGAATAGCCCCACTGCCAAAGGGATTAGTCTCGGGGGAGCCTCCGTGTTCCTCGTAGGCGGCCCTGAGCCGCCCGATGAGTGCATCGAGACTCCCCCAGGCCTGTCTGAGGGGACAGGTGCACGGCGCGGGGGGTTCGGGCTGCCCGAAAAAGATGCAGCCGTGCAAGTGGACCTTGGTCTTCCCGAATTGGTCCAGGTAACGGAGGAACTCGAGCACGTGGTTGAAGTTGCACTGGGACAGTGAAACTGGGGGTGTCTGATTCTTCAAGTACTGTCCAAAGGTGTTCCAGTCTCGTCGTTTCTGCGATTCGTACCGGCTCAGAGGGGCCGCCGCCGGCTGGCG